AGATGCCTCGGGGACATAGCTATAGTATGGCTAACCAAGTTGTTCAACCATATTTTTTGATCGAACAAGATGTCTGATGAGTGGAGGAGAAGTATATTGGTACCGATCTACAAGAATAAAGGGAATATTCAAAGTTGTACTAATTACCGGGGAATTAAGTTGATGAGCCATACTATGAAGCTATGGGAGAGAGTTATCGAGCATCGCTTGAGAGCAATAATGCGGGTCTCTATGAACCAATTTGGTTTCATGCCCGGAAGGTCAACTATGGAAGCCATTTTCTTAATAAGACAAGTTATGGAGCGGTATAGGGAGAAGAAGGACCTACACATGATTTTTATTGACTTGGAGAAGGCTTATGATAAAATACTAAGGAATGTTATGTGGTGGGCTTTGGACAAACATAAAGTCCCAACGAAGTACGTCGGGATCATTAAGGACATGTACAACAATGTTGTGACTAGAGTTCGAACAAGTGATGGAGACATGGATGGCTTCCCGATTAGGATAGGACTACATCAAGGGTCAGCTTTGAGCCCTTATTTGTTTGCTTTAGTGATGAATGAGGTCACAAGGGACATACAAGGGGACATCCCTTGGTGTACGCTTTTCGCGGACGATGTAGTGCTAGTTGATGAAAGCCGGACAGGAGTGAATCAGAAACTGGAGTTATGGCGGGAGATTTTGGAGTCCAAAGGTTTTAGACTCAGTAGAACTAAAACTGAGTATATGATATGTGACTTCGGCACTGCTACTCAGGAGGAGGAAGATGTTAGTTTGGAAGGTCAAGTAGTGCCTAGGAATGATATCTTTCGATATTTAGGATCAATGCTACAGAGGGACAGGGATATTAATGAAGATGTTAGCCATAGAATCAAAGCAGAGTGGATGAAGTGGCGGCAAGCGTCTGGTGTCCTATGTGATAAAAGGATACCACAGAAGCTAAAAGGCAAGTTTTATAGGACGACGATTAGACCTGCTATGTTGTATGGTGCAGAATGTTGGCCTACGAAAAGACGACATGTTCAACAGCTAAGTATTGCGGAAATGCGTATGTTGCGTTGGATTTGTGGTCATACAAGAAGGGATCGAGTTCGGAACGATGATATACGTGATAGATTAGGGGTAGCGCCAATTGAAGAAAAGCTTGTCCAACACCGGTTGAGATGGTTTGGATATGTGCAATGGAGACCTCCAGAGGCACCGGTGCGTAGTGGAATCCTAAGTCAGGATAGTAACGTGAAGAGAGGCAGAGGAAGACCGAAGTTGACTTAGGTAGAGGCAATAAAATGAGACTTGAAAGGATGAAATATACCCAAAGACTTAGCCTTAGATAGGAGTGCTTGGAAGACAGCTATTCACGTGCCTGAACCTTGATTGTGTCTGATGGGTTTCAACTCTAGCCTACCTCAACTTATTTGGGACTTAAAGGCTTTGTTGTTGTTGTTGTTGTTTATGATCAGCTTGGGAAGCGAGTTGTCGATCAAAATTGGGTTGATTATGAAGAAGAAGGTGATGAGGAAGAGTATGTTTGGCAGAAAGAGCAATGGTGTCCAGGAGGTTTAACAAGAAGTCAGAAAAGAATGGTACAACACCTATGGAATAGAGAGCTAGAACAGGCTTAGAAATCTGGTAAAACTCAAGTATGGCGTGTTAAACAAACAGCCGATAAGGGTCAATCATCGGCTAATATTTAAATGGCTTTTCTTTTGCTGTTAGAATTTAGAGCTCCAGCAGATCAAGAAGTCTATTCAGATTTTGATGAATCAGAATGAGGAGATAGTTGCCAAATTGACAGTGATACAGCAAGCTATATTTGATAAGTCAGTCAAGCATCGGCAATTGAAGGCTTTATATGTAAAATGTTTAGTTGATGGGAAGCCGATGGGAAAAATGTTGGTGGATGGAGGTGCTTCTGTTAATCTTATGCCTTATACTACTTTTCGCAAGCTTGGTAAGGGACCAGGAGATTTGATTGAGACTGGCATGATGCTTAAGGATTTTGGGGGTAATGCATCCAAGACCAGAGGGGCAATAAACGTTGAATTGATATTTGGAAATAAGACTTTGCTCGCTACATTCTTTATCATTGATGGAAATTGTTCATACAGTTTACTCATTGGTCATGATTGGATTCATGCAAATTGTTGTGTATCATCGACTATGCATCAATGCTTGATTCAGTGGTATGGAGATGATGTTGAGTTGGTCCATGCTGATGATTCTGTGAGTATAGCAACAGCTGACCCAATGTATTGGGAACTGGAAGATTTCGAGTGTTTTTCTGGCAAGCGATAGAAGGAGGCTTTATTAAGATCAGTGATGAAAGCCAACAGCCGATCCAAGCAGTCGGCTCTGAGAGTTTGTTTTAATGGATAATCCAATAGATGGTACGGATGGTAAACTATGACATGTCTTTACGTCGACCGATGAATTAGAGGAGAAAGATATTGGTCCTGGAGATAGGCCTAGGCCGACGTATGTAAGTGCTAAGTGGAATACTGAGTATAAGCGAGAGTTGATAGATTTATTAAAGGATTTTAAAGATTGTTTTGGTTGAAAATATTATGAAATGTCTAGTCTAGATCGATCAATTGTTGAACATCGGTTGCCAATCAAATCTGAATATCGGCCATTTAAACAAGCTCCGAGGAGATTTAACCAAAATGTTCTTGATGATATCAAAAAGGAGACTAAAAGATTATTAGAAACAAAATTTATTCGACCGTGCCGTTATGCAGAGTGGGTATCGAGTGTTGTTCCTGTGTATAAGAAAAATGAGAAGTTAAGAGTTTGAATTGATTTCAGAGATCTGAACAAGGCTACACCCATGGATGGTTATCCAATGCCAATAGCCGACATGTTGGTAGATGCAGCAGCCGAGCACAAGGTTATTAGTTTTATGGACGGCAATGCAGGATATAATCAAATTTTTATGGCTGATGAAGACATAGCAAAAACAGATTTTAGGTGCCCTGGCACAATCGGCTTATTTGAATGGGTTGTGATGACTTTTGGTTTGAAGAATGCTGGTGCAACTTATCAGAGTGGCAATGGATTATATTTTTCATAAGTTGATCGGCAGGATTGTTGAAATATACATTGATGATGTGGTGGTGAAATCCAAAGGGTACAAAGAACATCTAGCTTATTTGCGGAATACTTTGGAGTGCACGAGAAAACATGGTTTAAAGATGAATCCTAATAAGTGTGTCTTTGGAGTATCAACTAGACAATTTTTGGGTTTTATGGTCCACGAGAGAGGAATTGAAATTGGTCAAAAAAGTATGAAAGCAATTGATGAGACAGTATCCCTGACTACTAAAACAGAATTACAATATTTACTTGATAAGATTAATTTTATCAGAAGGTTTATTTCAAATTTGTTCCATTAGTTTTCCCTTTGACATGGTTCATACCATCTAATATCTACTCAGAACTTTGTTGTATATCCTGACATGAAAAAACAGTTGCATAGTCAAGTTCAGATTTGTTCACAGTACAAAATGCAATCTAAATATGTATGCTTTGTAAATAAGTTCATATTATCTTACTAAACCCGACATTTATCTGCCCCATTTGCTTTGCTTATTCTTCATTGTGTGCTATGCGTTGTTTGTGCCTTCTCATGCTACATTATTATGCTTCCTAGCCCGTGCAGTTGCGCGGGGGTTCCTGCTAGTATGGTTATATGGACCTCCTGAGTAGATTGGTACAGTAACTTGTAAGTTGTACCTAGGACTGATGGTGCATATATGGAAATCTACACGAAGGAATTTTATTAAGCGCAAACGCCCTTATCGGTTGCAATCTTAAAAAAATACTTATAAGTATGAAAAATCGTAAAAAAAAACCATACATGTAGAGGAAATGTGATATATAGAAGCATGTAAAATTTCAAGACTAAATGCAACCGACGGAAGAGAACACATGTATTATTTCTTCCATTTTCTTCACTTTGTATCTATGATTTGTCAATCTCATATCTAATAAATGAAATTGAGTTTCTTGAAATTTTATGGTCTGCATCTATATGATCATTTCATCTACATTGATAGATTTTTTAGGGATATTTAAAAACTTTAATTTGTAGTGCCCATCTATATCACCACCTTGTCTTCATTTTATAGGAGTTTAATAAAACTTAAAATAATCTTTTGAAAAGGGAAGGGAGGGGTTGATTTCACAATTCAACCAAGAAAGATATTTCCACTCAATATTTTCTCCCAAGAAGGTAGATTTTCTTATCTGGATCGCCATCACTCTAAATTAGTGAACGGCCATTTTGAGTCACTAGATGATTGCTCGTGCATTGCAACAGGAGCAACAAAAAAAATACACGAGTTTTTTTGGTAGCCAAGCCAAAATCAAGAACATGTCATTTAATTCTGCACGTTTGTTACACCATGACAATGACAAAATACAATGTTTTGAATTTGATCTTCCTACCATGCCGTTTGTAGCCAATCATCACTTTTACAGCACATAATTCTATTTTTTCTTTGAAATCAAATCAAATAAGTTTGGACCATAATAATTGTACGTGTTCACAATGACTATCAACTCTACCACGGTTTACATGTGATGAGCAAGATATTCTTGTAAGCATCATGAATTAAAGATTTGTGTGATGTCAATAACCGGATCCATCTTCCACAGAGCCATTGGAATCATCAACACGCTCAGTTCAGATGCTTGTTGAGGAAAGATACACTGAACTGATTAAAAAATCGAAGTTCTTGCTACGCTTTTTCCTTGTAAATGAAGTCGATGCTGACAAAGCTGAATTTATGCCATACTCTTAACCCAGAGCTAAGACTTCCCCTAAATTCTACCAGATAAAATCCCCATTCAAATCCCCAAAATTCCATACTGACTAAGCATCAATCAATAATAAAAAAAAGAACCAGAGCTTCGCGCATCGATTTCTCTCCACCGAGCAAGCAATCCCCAATGGCTATCTTCTTTCTTTTTCTTCCTCCAAATTGGCAAGCAGCAGGTCAAATCGAGCAGCCAGCACACCTCCTCCTGTGTTCTTCTCTCCACCAAGACCTTAGCAGCAAGCCAGCAACCTGTAGCTCTTCCTTCTTCCTGCCTGCAAGCACCAGTAGTAGATGATCCACCCAGTTAGCCTTCTTTCTCTCCAATAGCAGATGGAACCCGGGAGCCGAATGAAATGGCCGAAGATGGCACCAATAGGCAGCAAGGCGATGGAAGTGACGACTGACGCCTTCCATCATCACGCCGGCATCGCCCTCCTGGACGACCTGCCCCGCCTCAGCCACCAGCTCCGGCGGCTGGTAGTTGCCATTGATCGTGCCGCCGGCATCGCCCTCCTCGACGACCTGCTCCGCCCCTGCCAGCGGCGGAGGTGGCGGTGGCTGGTGGTTGCCATTCGCCTGGCAGTCCGAGACCGAACCCATTGCTCCCCCTACGGCAGCGAAAACCACTATAAACAAGTTTCCTGTCACCTCGGCATGCCCTATGATATATAATAAACAAGCTCAAACACCACATGGATGGGATATTTACCAAATCGATGAACCAACTACGCACCACCGCTTCAGCTGTTGTTAACCAAAGCCCGAGAAATGGGTACGACGTGGGGAGGGAGAAAATGCACTCACCTCGTCCCAGGGCTCGACAGCCCTCAAATCCTCGGTGGGTGAGTCTTTTGTGGCCGGCGCCGCCACCAGCGTGATCGAAGCTGAAGGGAAACGCTGCTGCGCGACCGCCGGCACCGCCCACCGGCGTCGGCTCGTCCCTTCCCGTTGTCCGCTGCCCTCCTCGACAGTGTGTAGAAGGGACAATTTGGAAGGCCCTTTCAGCCTTTCTACATGTTTTGGGCCACCGTTACAAACACACCCCTATCTGGCCCACTAGAAACATGGGCGTGGCTTTGCCACGCCTACATCAGATTTGTGCCACCGTAGAATTTGGTGTGAGACTGTGAGCCATAGTAATCTAGAGTTCTCTCGAGATGATGTATCCACTTAAATCTATGCCATGATGAGTAGATGTAGTCTCTGATGATGTTTCCACCTAAATCTTTAGCCCAGTTAAAAAAAAACTAAGGTAAGAATGCTATGAGTTACATTGAGATACTGATCCGAGCCATTTGCTCCCACAAATAAGTCAGTTTCTTCTGTTGGACCAATGCTACAGCTGACTTCTCTCTAGCTTCTTCACAGGTGTTGCCTGAGCTGCATTTGTCAGCCTCCTTCTGATACTGTGAAGCTAATTTCTAGGCCTCGAGCAACTTAACATCAGCCTCTTGTTGGGCTTGTGTTGCCTCCTCTTCTGTCTGTTTTAGTTCTTCTACAAGCAGCTCTGAAACTTTTTTCTGTCTGTTCACCAGATGCGCGATTCTTGAGCCCTTTGAAGTGTTTAGCACAATCTGAAAACATGGAAAGACGTGAGTTTTATTTAAAGCACAGTAATCAGAAATTGATTAACTCCACTTTGTCCCCTCTTGTTGGGCTTGTGTTGCCTCCTCATCTGTCTATTTTAGTTCTTCTACAAACCGCTCTGAAACTTTTTTCTGTCTGTTCACCAGATGCGTGACTCTTGACCCTTTTGAAGTGTTTAGCACAATCTGAAAACATGGAAAGACGTGAGTTTTATTTAAAGCACAATAATTAGAAATTGATTAACTCCACTTTGTCATGTTTGTCTCAATCAAAGACATAATCAGACCCCTACGTTTATTGCGAAGATAATTATAATATATCATGGCATAATGATAAAAATATACTTTGAGATATGGTATTATTGTGATGTCTAGCTCTCAGCACTTCTTCGATACGTTAGTTGGGCATAACGTATGGGTAAGCTACCGTAAAAAATTCATAGCAATTTGAATAAAAAAACTAACTCTATTAATTATTTATTGAAAACTTTAGAGAAATCTAGATCCACATTAATAGCAAAAAAATTACACTAAAACATGTAATGTTATGTGTTTATAGTGCAGTGCTAGTTGTGTAGGGTTCAACAAACTTGGTTTGGCATTTTTTTATTTTTATTTGTTTTATTATGTTCTTTACAAAATTTTAACCGTTTTAGATAAATAATAAATTTATAGAAAAATAGAAAAACGTCGTCGGGCCGAATTCGGTCCAGTAAGGCCCAGGTCCGGCGATATACAGGCCCGAGCGGGAGGCAGGCCGGCCCATTTAAAAGGCCTGGACTGCAGGTTGATTTTAGTAAAGTTTGAGGGCTTATTTGCAAAAAAAAACTCAAAGGAGGCTGGGCTGAGGGTTGATTCGACTAAAGTTTTAAGGTTTTTTTACAAAAAAAAAAAAGGTTCGCACGATCTGAGCCGTCCACCTGACCGATCCGATGGCCGGGAAAAACGGACGACGTGGCCACGCTGCCTAGCCCTTTGTAGCAGGATTCCTACTACAGAAATTAGGCCCTCGGATCGGACGGCGCACTACCCAGAAAAAACTTCGCGAGCAGAGACCAACTCGCAGTCTTAACAGGCCTCTCCGCCTCCGACTCTCCCCTCCTCGAGCGCTTTCGGCACCGGCGCACCGCGGCACGGTAGGATGGCGGCGGCGGCCCCGACGAGGGCAGAGGTGCTGGCGCTCTTCCGGTCCTTACTCCGCACGGCGAAGCAATTCTCCGACTACAACATCCGCGAGTACACGCGCCGACGCGCCGCGGACGCCTTCCGCGAAAACCGCGCCCTCGCCGATGCGCCGGCCGCCGCGGCGGCGTTCGCGGAGGGGAAGAAGCAGCTAGAGGTTGCGAAGCGGCAAGCGTTGGTTTACTCGCTCTACGCCCCCAAGGCCAAGAGCGTGATGGAGTTGAAGGCGCAGTGATGGACGAGGTGCTGCGCCCTTTTCTTCCTCATCGTTTCCCTTTCCGGATTCGTTCCTTTTGTGTGGTGATGAAACTATAAACTGATGTGTTATTACCTTTGCTGGATGATTGTCATCTTATAGCTTCTTTCTGTGCAATAAATCACTAAGTTCTACTGTGATTATCTCTTGCTATTGTCTGCAAAGCAATCTGCTTGCGTGATTGCGGTTGTTGCCTTGCGCTAGTACTCTTCCGCGTCGCTGGTTTTTGGCTGTGGTTGTTTGCTTGCACTTTGGATGCGAGTATGTTAGCACAGTACCGAATTGGCACGGTTGCAGTGGGGCGTTGGGGCCAATTGTAGTGCTCATCAGCTATTTGATGAAATTTCCCCACTGACACACTGATCTCAGTTACTCCCTCTGTCCCAAAAAGGATGCAATTCTAGCTTTCTACCAAGTCAATCTATCCCAACTTTGACCAAATATATATAAAAAAAAAATATTGTTTATGATACCAAATAATTATTGTTAGATTCACCATCAAATATATTTTCATAGTATACCTATTTGAAGTCCCAAATGTTACTAATATTTTATATAAACTTAGTTAAACTTAAGAAAGTTTTACTTAGTCCAAAACCAGAATTGCATCCTTTTTTTTGACGGAGGGTACAAAACCAAAACCAGACTAGGTAGCTTATGGCTTTCTTCAGACTAGTTTACTGATTATCTATGTAGTACCTTATTTTGGAGCCCTAGGCAGCTAGGCAACAACTACTGGCATTAGGCAATGTGGTGACTTAATGAATGAAGCGATACCTGCTGACATACATGTTTCGTGTCAAGTTACCTAGTAGATTCCTCTTGGTTGTTGGCGAATCATGATTCCTTAGTTTCTTGAGAGTGCAACAATTAGGAGTCTTAGATAGGGGGGATAGAGGAAAGCTATTGTGGTAGAGGCCCTATGTTATTCCATCATTCGTGTCTCTCAGTCTGAGAAGATCTGGTGTCAGACTGTTGTGCCTTATTCTGACTTGCATAGCACACAAGCATGGTGTGGTGGCCTGTCCTCCGCCCCTCTCTGCTAGCTGGTGCTTTCATATTTTTCTTTTCCTCTTGCTAACTTTGATTTTAAAACACCTTAGATATTTAGGTCATTCATTTTAAAACACAGTAAGTTTAAAACCACATGTTTTAGTAGCATGTGATTTTCTCAGTGCATAAGAGACCTCTCAATATCATTTGTAGCGATCTCATATTAACCCATCAAGTACATGTACAACATAAAAAAGTAGATTTCACAAATATATATCCACAAAGAATTTTCAAAAGACAAACACCACATCAAGTGGAGATCTTTCACATATTTTAACAGGTTCTATGGCCTGATGGATTGGAGAAGAAAGGGCAGTATTATGTAGATTATATAACTGTTGGCTACTGCTGTGGCTGTTCATGAAGAAATGGAAGGTTTTGCTGACTCAATTAATTGGACATTGTTAGTTGCTTTACAGTTACAGATTTAACATGTGCACACCCATAACTTGGTAAGTTTGGAAACTAAATATCGCATTTCCTCATTCTGGATTGTTGCATCTGAGCTGGATGCTCTGAAAGTTCATCTTCTTGTGCGCACCGAAGTTTTCATGTTCTTTTGTTTCGGCTGCCCATTGTTTGTTCCATCAGAGTTGGACATATCGCATGGATCCTTGTTGCGCGAGGGAGAATGATAAAAGTCTGACTGAAAACTTTCATCCATGTCAGTTTGGTATATAGCTTCGTGGTTGAGTTCATGATGGTGCCGAACGTTGCTGCTGCCATCCTGCTCAACCACTTCTTGGAACTCATTAAAATCCAGTAGCACATTGTTCTTAGCAGCAATCTCTTTCACCACCTTTTTCTTGATCTCCATGTTTCTTTTGTTGCCAGATAGCTTCCAGACCAACTGAAAGGGTAGCACAAACCAACCGTGTAAATTCCAGTTATCGTTGTTTCCAGTTCCGAATGAATGTGATGGGACCATGAATGAATATAGGATGTTGTTCTAGTTACCATGGGGTCGACAACGCCAGTGCCCTCCTTTGTCATCATTGTGAAGTCGCCTCCAAACTTATTTGCCAGTATAGTGCGTGCAAACAGCAGCTCCGGCAGATCGCTGCACCTCCCGGCTGCAAACATGATCCCGGCGGCTGCCTCCCGAATATCCTCGCCACATTCACTACACACCAGATTAAATTTGAACAAAATAGTCATGCAAACATAAAAGTGGTGTGAAACAATAGTGCCAAATATGAGAACAAGATAAGGTCAGTTGTTAGGGTGTAAGGTCAGTTGTTAGGGTGTAGAGAAGATGCATACTGGGGCTTGTCTAACTGATTTGCGTGCTTGATGAGGCGATTGCAGTATAGCTCTATTATGTTGAATGCCTCCAGCATGTTGCCCTCCTCTATGAGCTGCTCTGCCTACATGGAGATAGAGACGGTGCAGCATTGGTAAGCCTGCATTTGAAGAGTATGAAGCTTCATTTTACAGGAAGTTAGGGATGATAGTCTGGCCATACACGGTGGAGAGCACGATCGAGGTGGCTGAGTGCTAGTCACTGGCGGAGCCTCATGGAGGCGAACCTGGGCTCTTGCCCCCCCTTGGTTTCATGTTTTGTCACTGCATGTAGTACTGCTTCCATCCAATTGCAATGTAAAAGCTGCTCTATCAAGCTGTGAAGCTATGCATGAAAAGTGAAAAGCCTATGCTGTAGGAAATAAATAAAAAATGATAGAAGAGCCTAGTGCATCATATTGCTGCTACCTGCTATAGTTGTCATTGAAATTTTTTTAGCCCCTCCTTGTTTTCTATCCACGCTCCGCCACTGGACTGCTAGTAGCTGTCCCACATCGCTGCGGGTAATTGACTTGCGAGCGAGGCGGGGACGGCGGGCAGCGGCGAGGCGGGACAAGGCGGGACCTAGAAGGGTCTTAACCTTGCTGGTCTGCTTGGAGGTCCTCCTGTGGACGAAGCCCATTGTTGATCGCCTGTTGCCGGAGTTTGGACGGTGTTCCTGGTGCTGCCTTCGTTACTCTGTTATGTAAATGCCAAGCCTGGTTGCCCCGTTGGTCCTTTGCTTGGTTGAGAGGACGGGGAAGAAGAAGATGACTTGCTTGTGGACTGATGAGGAAGTCTGTCGGAGGGACAAAGGTTATCTAGCGCCGTTCTTCTTGTTTGGGGACTCCAATTTTGGTGTATCTGCTGTCAGTTCGGTTTAAACGCACTCCTGCATTTGCAAGATCACAGCTCCGTTGCACACATGCCTAAAGAAAGGAGCTGAGGTAAACGTGGAAAGAAAAGTTAATAGAGGTGCAGCGAATTACACGTGCAATATATTTGCCAGAGAGCAAATGGAACACGCGCAAAGAGATGGTCTTGCTATCTCTAAGTTGTCTGATATGTTGTGTTACTTGCTCGTTTTTGCTGTCTTTTGTTAGATTTTTACTATCTGTTTTAAAGACTTCAGGAGAAAGTGTGGCACTGATTTTGATTTTGGTGCAGGAATTCCCCCCACCCCTACCCAAAAAAACGCAAACAAATGTTTAGTATGGAACACTACACTGGTGCAAAATTGAATGAAATCCTAGTTATCCCCGTTTCAATATGTTGGGCTTCGTGTAAGTTCAAATGTAACCCCGTTTCCACAGGATTCATGAAGGAGTTCTATATACTTGCCGGGGACCAATACTAAGATACCCGAAGAGAAGGAGCTAATAGTCATCAACATTGATTCATCCGAGCAGTCAAGAGCGTGACTACAGCTCCGACCGACCCCAGGTGCGCGGGCTCCGCCTCGCCCGACCTCTGGGGGCGGGCTCCGCTTCGCCCGACCTCTGGGTCGGGGGCTCCGCCTCGCTCGGCCTCTGTGTCGGGGGCTCCTGATCGCCCGACCCCTCAGGCGCGGCTCCTGACGGAAGCCCGTACCGCCGCCAACCACTACGCATCAGAAAGTACAACCCAAGGTCAAACTTCTAGCATCGTGAAGGGAGCGGGCACATCTCAACATGACCCGTGCCCGCGACATGTCACTCTAGGAAACTCACATCACCAACAGTGACGGACGCGTGGTCACTATGCTGCCTACTCCATGTACGGCCGCTGACCAGCATGCTGGTTTGCCGCGTCGCCCGCCGGGACGGAATGGGACGTCATGACCCGTTGACAACGCCGGGGCGTGGCATCAGCGGCGAACAGGCGCCCGGCATGGAGCTGTCCCTGTCACCATCTGCAGTGTCGGTGGGACCCGCATAAAGGAGAAGAAAGGCCCGACGGTCCTAGAAGCCTTCCTCTCCTCGGCTCTTCTCCATCTTTCTCTCCGTATAACCTGCTCTTCCCCTTCGTCTATAAAAGGGGAAGCAGGACGCTCCAGGAGGGGGGACGGCGGTTCACCACTCTACACGTTGTAGACATCAAAACACACGCTCTAACACGCCTTAGGAGCACACGCACATCAGAGAATTGGGACATGTCCCTCTCTCGCTCGTTTGTAACCCCTACTATAAACTTTCAGTGCTAGTAACACGAGCAGCAGCGACGAACTAGATGTAGGAACTTTCTGCCCGAACCAGTATAAACCTCGTGTTCTCTAAGCACACCATCCAAGCTAGAAGCGCAATACTAGAAATTTACTAGTTGGTAACTCAAAACACCGACAATACTCTTTAACCATATGCTTCATCTGATATGCACACAAAACGTCAAGATCTAAAGAATATCAATAGATCCGATAGATCAAAGTCTCACTGTCTCTTTGCCAACATTAGATTGAACGTCGTCGAGATAGGGAGAGGCTGAAGGGACCTTATTCCAAAGTGTCATCATCGCCACCACGTCATTGATGACACTAGAAACCAGATCCTAGATTAACAAGAATCCACAGCCCTAACTTAAAACAACAAAGGGGAAAGGAAATAGATCCCCACTCCTTTGTCCACCGGCAAGCTCACCAGTTGGGAGAGAGGAGGGGACCGAGCCAGTGTCCTTAGGGAGGGAGGCGACGGTGGTGGTTGGAAGAGAAGGCGGTTGCGTCTATATTTACACAAGCAGGTATACGAAACTAATATGATAATATAGATGATGCATCTTTTTCATAAATTTTGACAAAATTAAAAAATAATCCATTCCAAAACAAGAAAAAAAACTCAATTGTCCCCATCTGTTTTGTTGCTCCATTGCCTGTATAGGTAGACCAGAGAGCGACAGAAGGATTGATTATTCATATGAAATGTATCATATCCGAGGTTATTTAGTATCAGTATTGTATCTGTATCTTAATACTCAAATTTGAACACACGTGATGTCAATTTCCAATCAAATCTTATCCAAAATATCTATAACCAAATCCGTATTCGTTTATGGAAAATCATCATCACGGGAGTTTGTATATCTCTAACTCATTTACGCTTTTTGCATTTACTTATTTTCCTAGGTTGTCTGTTTTACCATTTCTATTCTAGCTTGTCGCTAACTCATTTACGCTTTCTGCATTTACTTTTTTTTTCCTAGGTTGTGTGTTTCACCATTTCTATTCTAGCTTGTTAGGTTAGTTGAATAGGATTGGAACCTAAGTTGCATAACTCTTTTTGCACTAGAGATAGCAACGCTTTGCAAAATCATAGTGCACATCTAGATAGATATGTAGCATAGGTTTTAATAAGTAGGTTTTAGAGACCATTAGTTTTAAAGTTGCCTAATTCAAAACCCCCTTCCTAGAAGTCAACGTACTTCAAGATTAACCCATGTACGAGAAGTGTTGTTAACAAATTGAATTTAAGCACTATTACATTTCCATACCACGTTAATATATTTATTACAAGTTATGACCTTTCTTAATATTTATTAATTTAATTTGCTTTGATTATTTACTGCATAGAATCTCTTTAAAACATCTTTTTAGAAAAAAAAACAATCATAATGTCCCATTAACAAAATAATGGATGTATCATATGTATTAAGTACCGATCAATCTAAAACTTTATCTAAAATAATGATAATATATAACGTTGCTATCATTAACCCTAAACACGTGTGTACGAGACGTACACATCTACTAGTATATACAAAAGATCAGTAACATTCTCAATGGCTTCACGCACAATCCATCTGTTACGCTAGCAAATTTTGTTGCATTTGAAGGCTAGAAAGTTTGATCCGCCATATATAGCGCGTGTTTAGTTTGGGGGAAATTTGGAATTTGGTTACTGTAACACTTTCGTTTTTATTTGGCAATTAGTGTTCAATTATGGACTAATTAGACTCAAAACGTTCGTCTCGCAATTTCCAATCAAACTGTGCAATTAATTTTTATTTTCGTCTACATTTAATGCTCCATACACGTATCGCAAGATTCGATATGATGGCTACCGTAGCACTTTTTGAAAATTTAGGGTGAAAACTAAACACACGCATAGTTGTAATTGTCGAGTCCAGACTCCAAACTCCAAAGCTGTCTTTTGTGGGGGAAAGAAAGTTGTCTCTGTAGGGCAGGACAGTCATAGTCCGACTCTGAAATTTCACACATGCATTCTTCTTGCATCGTCTGTGGCAAAAATCTCAACAGCTTTGTCCGTTGCCAATGTCGTCCTACGACTTTTTTTTTTAAAGGCCTTCCTACGACTTCAATGCTTCCTAGAGCTCAGAGAAGTCCACCAGTATATTGTTTTCAGCAGCGATCACCTTGGCCACCTTCTTCTTCAGCTCCACGTTTGTTCTGTCGCCGGACAATTTCCACACCAGCTGCAATAGTAACACGAACCAATCCTGAGAATGTTAGGAATCCTTTTCCCCAATCTTTTCCAGTTTCAAATCAATTGGATGTGCCAGAAAGGCAGAAATGAAGAATGTCACATTAATTACCATCGGATTGACAATTCCGGTTCCCTCCTTTGCAGCCACAGTGAAATCGCTGCCGAATTTGGTTTTTGTCTTTAGTCACTACTAAAATTTATGTCATATCGAATGTTTAGATGCTAATAAGGAGCATTAAATATATATTAATTATAAAACTAATTACATAGACAGAGGTTAATTTCCAAGATGAATTTTTAAACCTAATTAATCTGTCATTAGCATATGTTTACTGTAGCATCACGTTGTCAAATCATGGACTAATTAGTCTTAGAAGATTCGTCTCGTAAATTAGTCGCAAGTTATGCAATTAGTTTTGTAATTAGTCTATATTTAATACTACATACATGTGTCAAGTATTCGATGTGACAGGAATTCTAAGAGGAAATGTACCAACCAAACAGGCCGTTTATCTGCGAGGATGTTGCGTGCGACGAGCAACTCCGGCACGTCGCCGCGCCACCTCGCCGCAAACATGATCCCGGCTGTCGCTTCCTTGATATCCTCGCTACACTCCCTGCACACCAAACACAGTTACACTTACACAGTGTCATGCAACTGAAAAGCATGTGTGAGCCAATAATATTTAAAATAGGAGACATTTGCGTACTGTGGTTTGTTCAATTGTGCAGCATGCTCAATAAAAGGCATTTGCAGTATAGCTCAATGATGTCGAAGGCTTGAAGCATGTTGTCCTCCTCGATGACCTGCTCTGCCTGCACCAAGAAAAATGTGCACACAAGCATTAGTTCAACTGGATTAGAAGAGTGTGGCACCGCAATTGATGTGCAATAAGAAATCACAGGTCCGTACACGAAGGAAGGCACGGTGGAGGTGGCCGAGCGCGAGGAGCTGGCTAACATCACGGTGTGAGATTGACTTGCGAGCAAGCCGAGGACGCTGGGCAATGGCGAGGCGCGACAAGGCCAGCTTGAGAAGCTTCTTAACCCTGGAGGTCTGCTTCGAGGTCTTCCCGTGGAAGAAACCCATGTTGTGGAGTCCGAGTAATCTTCCCTGTCGTCTAGTTCGTTTATGCAAACACCGTGGTTCACCTTTCTTTTTGGTCTTTGGCCTGATGGAGATCGAGGAAAGGAGAGGAGCAGAAGAAGATGTCGATTTGTTTGTCGATTGATCTGAAGTATGAATTGGCGGGATCAAGATTTTATAGGGGTGTACTAGAAGCCTTGTGAAGTCCAATTTTAGTGTTTCTGCTGTCAGTTCTGTCTAAAATGAGCTCGTTTTGCATTTGCAAGTTTACAGCCTCATTGCAGCGCGTGCCTAAAAAAAGGGTAGCGAGCTAAACATGCTCAGATTTACTGGTCGCAAAGCAAACAAAACGTGCAAAAGGTCTGTGTAACCAAATGGAGCATGCAGAAATGGTGTGGTGTAGCTGTGTGTAGGCTATCCTTTTGTTCAGTTCATTTTTTCTGTCAGTTCAACGAGTCATTAGATATCTGAACTTGCATCTCCCATTTTGATGATTTTCTTTATCCAGATGGCCTGTTCGTTTGAACTTATCAGTCGGCTTATCAGCTAAAATCTACAGTATTTTTCTCTCACAATAAAACAGTTTCAGTCGGTTTATCAGCCGACTTTAATACCAGCCGAACAGGTTACAACGAAGTTTGAAGAGAAGATTTAGCATGGTGCATAATTTTCTTCTCGGTGAGAGGTTCACCCTGTTCGTTGGTTGGTGCTAACGCTGGTTTGGACTGACTGGTGCTGGTTTTTTGTGAGAGAAAAACACTGTTGGCTGGTTAAATAAGTCTGACTGAAACCAACAAGCGAACAGGGTGGTTGTGTTTGTTTCCTTTAACCCTGTCATATCGAATTTTTGATACCAATTAGGAGTATTAAACATAGGCTAATTATAAAACTAATTACATAGATTGAGGCTAATTTACGAGACGAATCTATTAAGTCTAATTAGTCCATGATTTAACAATGCGGTGCTACAGTAAACATTTACTAATTATAGATTAATTAGGCTTAATAGATTCGTCTCGTTAATTAGTTTACTCATGTATAATTAGTTTTATAATTAGCTCATGTTTAGTCCTCTAGTTAGCATCCGAACATCCGATGTGACACGGCTAGACTTTAGGGATTAGGGTGTTTTGCCCGACAATGAAGAGAGATTGATTCGTAGTTGGATTCTGGACAAAACCTATTATTTAGAAGTTTTCAATGTAAGAAAAACAATAATCACCACGGAGTGATATCTAAACATCTCTTCTTCTTCTTTTCCCCAAAGTTCAGATTCTACGTTCACTATTCAGAACCAAGATTTTCACTATAAAAATGAGATACAAACAAACCCTTAGTTTAATTTCAATTTTCACGTGAAATGAAAAGGGAAAATTTCTCAAGTTCGTCTGATTCCTGCCGCACGGCAGCGCATGGGACTCGCGCCGTGTTTAGTTTGAGGTAGGAATATTGGACTAACGTAGTATTTTCGTTTTTATTTGACAATTAGTGTTTAACACATTGACTAATTAGGCTCAAAACGTTCGTCTCGCAATTTCTCCCACCAAACTGTGCAATTAGTTTTTTTTCGTCTACATTTAATGCTCCATGTACAGGCCGTAAATATTCGATGGGATGGCTCCTATAGCCCTTTTTAGGATTTTGGGTCGAAATTAAACATGGGCTCGGTTGACCGGCCACCTGCAGCTGTGTCGTGCGATCTAGAGGGAGCTAGGTGGCATAAAAGGACAGGCCGCCGTTCGACAACTAGGCAACGTGGACAGGTGCCGAGCAGAGGCGCAGCGGCAGTCCGCAGTCACTACACACACCTTGCAACACATGAGCAGAGGTGCAGCGGCAGTCCGCAGTCAATGGTCCGGAACTTGCAGTAGGGGTGGTCCAGACGTCCAGTTCATCATCATCAGGTCCGATGGCAGTTAGCTGCCGAACATGCGGTAGTTGTGACGGCCGTACGGGCCCGACGGGCGCGCGAATCAGGTCACGTTTAGTTACACCAAATTTCCAACTTTCACACTATGCAAAAAGAGCACATTAAACTTGCGGTACATGCATGGAGTACTAAATGTTGATAAAATCAAAAACTAATTGCACAGTTTGATTGTACTTTACGAGACGAACGTTTTAAGCATAATTAATCAACGAGCGAACAATTATCACCAAATAAAAACAAACGTCACTGTAGCTATAGTGTAGCTACAGTGATTTCGTCGACGCCGAATCGTCCGAACTAAACACGGCCTCAATTGCGCTGCGGTGCGCGGTGCGGCGGTGGAGCGCGTGACCGCGTGCGTTGCGTGCGCGCGCGAATGAAATGGCGGGCACGCGAGTAGTGCAAGGGCCAAACACAGAGGCGCGCGCGAGCGAGGGCGATCGCCCGGCCTCGGCCTCGGTGTTGAGCACTTGAGCTGGCTGCGGCTGGCGGCCTGACGCGTCGCAACCTTCACTCATCAGATTCTCAGTGCGAGCAGACAAATTTTGCAGCTTAGGAACACCTGCCATGAAGCAAAACTCTTCAGTTTCTACAGGAAAGAAAACACAACTTGCAGCTAATCACAACTCAATACTCAATCCTTCCTCTGTACAATAAGGCCACCTACTCACCAGTATGCATGTATCTATATTCAGCTCCATGAACAGTCTGAATTTCTAGCAAAATTTACTTCTATTTGATTCTACCCATGTGTATTTCATTTCCAGAGGCAGGAAATCTCCATGGTTCCCGCAGCAAACCACAGAAACCGCTCATCTCCGCGTGCGCACCGAGATGGCCCTCCTCTCCGGGTTCAGCGGGCCGTGCCCCTGCCCCTGCCCCCTGCCCCTGCCCTGGCGCCGCGCCGTACACCCGCTCCTGGAGCGCCCGCGCGTCCGTGCCCATCCTGCGCACCTCCTCGTGCCGCGCGATGTGCTCGTTGCTGCGCTCCAGCGCCGACACCATCCTCGAGTACGGCGGGTGCACGTACGACGAGCTCTCGTACGCGCCGCCGTCGTCCCGCGCAGCATCGCTGTCTCTGCCCGTGCTGGCCGTCGAGGTCCTCCTGTACGGCGGGGCCACGTACTGCCCGCGCTGGCCGCCCGCCAGGGCGTCGTGAAGGGCGTGCGCACGAGCGTTGCCGGCGGCGAACTCCGTGGCGTGACGCCTGTGCTGCGGGCGCGCGTGGGGCGGGGTGTTGTTCCCGGGCGCGCCTGTGCCGCCGGCGTCCCCGTGCCACGGGCCGACGCCTGTGCCCACCGTGGAGGCCGTCCTCCGGTAGGATGGCCGGCGCTGCGACGGGGGCCAGACAAGGTCCTCCGCCCCTTCGTCCTCCAGTTCCTCGTCGCTCTGGTCGAACACGACCTCCTTCCCCTTGTGCGCAGCGTCCGACCCAACCGAGGTCGCCGTGCTCCTGTCGCTCCACGAGGGTGACGGCGACGGCGACGGGGACTTGTGCGGCCTCCACGATGGCGGCGCCGTCCCTTGCTCCGTTGCCGCCGTGGTCTGCACGGAGGGCACCTTGTCGTAGCCACCGCCCCTCGATCCCTTCCCATGGGACTCCGACCGGGACAGCTCAACGGCAGCCCGGGCGGCCATCGCGGCGAACTTCGCGGACGCGAAGGCTGCCTCCGCCGCCATCCTGGCGTCGGGGTACTTCTTGGATTCCCTCAGCACCTTCTCATCCAGGCTCAGCTGAGCAAGGCTCGGGTTCACCATGCCATTAACAGAGTTCGGCTCCCCCTGCACATGTTACGCATCGATTCTTAAAATCAAATACCGCAAAAGATACTGGATTTCTGATGATCCTGTAGTGCGATCACGGCACAAACCTCACGACGATCCGTCTTGACCGCACTCTCCTCGACAAATATTCTGGCCGGTGCATTTTTCGTTTGTTCTCTTGTTGCTCTCTGACTTTTGATCCGCGCGGTCGTGCTACCATCTTGGTGAATCTCTACTGGGTTCTCAGGGAACTCCAGAAAGATGTCGTTCTCGGCGGCGATCTCCTTGGCCAACCTCCTCTTCTGCTCCAAGCTCGCCCTCTCGCCGGACAACTTCCGCACCAACTGCAACAAACCAACAGTGCAGCAGCCAGATTCAATTCCAACTCCCATCATGTAGATGCAGTGCAGTTGGGGGAACAACCTGTAAACTAAGCGAGTTAGCAGTTGAAAGAAGTTAGAGCTACCGTGGGGTCGACGACGCCGTGGGCGCCCTCCTTGGCCGCCCTGGCGAAGTCCCGGCCGAATTTGTCCGCAAGGATGGCGCGCGCGTCCAGCAGCTCCGGCAGCTCGCCGCACCGCGCGGACGCGAACATCAGCCCCGCCGCCGCCTCCTTGATCTCCTCGCTGCATTCCCTGGGTTCCGCCGAACGAACCAAAGTGGCAATCTTTCCGTGTGAGAGCGGGGGAACCGAGGAAACGGGGAATCGAAACGAGAAGCCAAGAGGCAACGATTACGGGGAGACTCTACACATACTTGGGTTTCTCCAGCTGCGCGGCCCGCTCGATGAGGATTTTGCAGTAGAGCTCGATGACGTCCAGCGCCTCCAGCATGTTGTCCTCCTCGATCGCCTGCTCCGCCTGCTCGACGAACGAGAACGCACACCACTGCGTATCACTACTGCAAACTGGCAAAAGGAGAGACACTGGCACACGCGACACGAACAGACAGATGTGGACTTACGCGGACGAGCGCGCGGTCGAGATGGCCGATAGAGAGGAGCTGCCCGACGTCGCTGCGGGCGATGGACCGGCGGCCGAGGCGCCGCCGGCGGGCGACGGCGAGGCGCGCCACGGTGAGCTTGACCAGGGACTTGAGCTTGGCGGTCTGCTTGGAGGTGCTCTTGCCGAAGAGGCCCATGGCTCTGGTTGCGGCTGCCAACGGTGGTGTCGGGGGTTAGTGCTGTGGCGGTGAACTGCTGATGGCTCGCTTCTTATACTGGTCACTGGATTGGTGCTCTGTGCCGAAAAAAACTGACTTGCTTGTGGACTACGGACTTTGCTCTGGACGGGCAAGCCTGCGTTGCTGTTGCTGTGCCGCCGGTGCTTCTTCTTTCGGGAATTGGGTAGTCTCCAAGTTTTGTACATGTTGATTTCTGTCCACTGTCCAGCTCAGCCTAGTTACCAGGAGGCTATGGAATGATGTGCATTTGTATGCGTCACTTGCCAAAATGAAAAACGCCAAAATGGAGACTTCCGCCATGTTCGCTTGAATTTATCAGTCATACCGTTTCAGCGAAATAATAGTGTTTTTCTCTCACAATAAATCAGCATCAACATCAGTCATTTTTTCAGCCAGCCGAACAGGGCCTTCATCACGGAAAAAAAAAAAGAATCACTTATTCCATTTTTTTTGTGTGTAACGGTCCTAAGATCTACATGCAATTCACCAACGAACAGCAAGCCTTGAAATCTTTGAAAAGCATAAAACCTATAGAAATGTTTTAGACGACATCAACTTCTCATTGATAAATGTGGTAAACCACGTAATTACATACGTAGAAGTACAATGGGACACAACATAGGAGCAAACCACATAGTACACAACATATCACCAGATATAACAAAGAAACAAGAGAAATACAACTAGATCTTCATCGTGCCGATGTCTTTTAAATATTCCGTTGATAGACACCTTGGAGTACAGGCGTTGATGCTTTGCTTACTTCCCTAAGCGGCTAAGCCACAATCTTAGTTTATTTAGAGCGGTTGGGGCGGCAGCCCTGCCCGTGCTGAGCAATCTAACAGTTGTAAAGCGGGATCCCGAGCATGTCGCCGTGGACAAGACACGGACACGGCGCCGAGCGGATCGGAGCAATTCGTGGCTTGCCGGCTAACGCCAGAGGCCGAAAATCATGCTTGATTGGGTAGCTTTTCCGTGGCACGAATAAAGTGCCTTCGTTTGCCTGCGCCAGGGGAATTGCATTTTGCTGCAGAGCCACCGCAGCATATGGTTCACGGACTGGGTCTTAACCATCGTCTGCCGCTCGCTCCAGTCCAACGCGTCGGCGCCCCATGACTTGTGATTGTGAGCTCTAGCCGAGCGCACAAACGTCGTCTCGTCGTTCGGAATTGGCAGAGGGGTCGCTTTCTTCCATGCCGTCGTGTCATAACGTTCAGCACACTGTACAAATGCGAAGCGTGTATGCAGGATGCGTATGCACAGTGGCATGTGTATGTGCAGACTACGCAGGAGCTGAACTGTGTAAGCGCTGATTGCTGTGCGACTAACTCCTACTACTTGCAAAATGTTTAATTGACTTGGGAGGGAGGTACTAGTAGTTTCTATACATAAAGTACAATATATTCATTGACAAATGTTGCCTTGTCGTCGTCGTCTTCTTTTCTTAACAGAACATTCGATTTATTCTCTTTCGTACGTACACGGATCGATTCAGGCATGCGTTCATCCGACGCAGCTAGCTCTTTACGAGTCTATCCGTGAATATTTTTACAAACTAGGACTACACCTTTAAATATTCACGGCATGCGTTCATCGGAAAAAATGGATTTCGGTTGAGCAGTCGAGCCACTTTACAGGCTAAAACCTCCGAGTGGTGACCGGTGACAAGGCAGTTTGTATGCAACTCTGCATCTGCATGGCCAGAGTACTTTTATGGATTCCGAAGCTGCTTTTGATGGTCAGGGGAATTTCTCATGAGTGGGCGTCGCCCATCGGCAGGGCACGGCCGCGCAAAACCATCGGCGACCCTGCCGCCGCCGCCGCGCATCATGGCCCGTGGGCGTCTGCAGTCATTTTGTACTAGTCCACTTTTGCTTACCATTGATGCCCCTTTCAGCGTGACGTGTTCCCGTAGTAAACGGGGGGAAATGAGGTATATCAGGAAGGGCTAGCAAGTAAACAACTAAAAACGACGTGAAAAAAGTAGGGCGGCTTTAGCTTTACCGACTGATGCGGAAACAGAAGCGCAGTTAATTCGTAACACCAATTCGCAGTTCTTCTCGGTCAGTCATACTCATATGTGGCCGGAACGCCCATAGCTGATTTGTTGTACTACCTTCTCGATCACATGTCGACTCCATTCGTCCAATATAATGCCTTGCTCTGAATCTCGTTCGGATCGTAGTTTTTCGGTACAAATCCATGGACCAAGAGAAAAACGAGACCAGCTTTCAAATCAGACAAGAAAACGCAAATGTCAAACAAGCCGGCCGCTAATGAGACCACTCATCCAGTCATCCTAGTCCATACATACAAAGGCTACACCGCGACAGTGCGACACAAGATCACTGGAAAAGGCGTGGGCGCGTGGCGCTATCATGCATGCGTCGCGCAAGGTTGCTCTTGCCACACAACAGATCGCGGCGTGATCTTTCAGTTATTAGCGGGTTAAAAAGATCATGGGGCAGGATTAGAAAGGCCATAGGATGATGATGCCGTGATGGATCCAAGGCAAAGCGGGGAGCAAGCGATACAATACCTGTCAATTAAGCTGCAGATAAACTAGGTGGAAAAGGGCCCCGTCGTGCGCCTGCTTCTTTATTCGGGTGATGGTTCTTGTGTAAAGCGACGCGCCGAGCCGCCGAGCCCATCATCTGCACTGACGGGGACACCTGTCGTCGTTGCCGTCCTCATCCGTGGCTGCCTGCAGCTGAAGGCGATTGGGAGTACACAGGTTTAATCTTATCTCAGAAACCCGCGCTGCAACAATCTAATCTATAATTTCCATGAGTCTGTCTGTGTCACCGCTGGACTTCGGGTTCCAACTTCCAACTAACAAGTACAATAATACACAGTTTGAGAACTATTCACCACTCGGTTCGGTTTTTTTCTTTGCGAGGAATGAGCCTGAATTCTTCCCAAATTGTTCAGCATGGCATGGCATGGCATCGGCCAAAAATAGAGCGGTAGCTAACGTTACCTACTTACCTTTACCTAGTTGGCTAGATGCACCGATAACTATAGATAGGATGATAGTACGTGCCTCTCCGTGAGCAGCAGCGCGATACGAATTCGCCATGATGTCTGATGCACGCGATGATGCGCATGCAGTGCGTTGTCCTTGGTCAAGCACTGGCCGGGTAGCCTTGCCGCCGCGCCACCAAATTCACCACCAACATCTCTAGCGCTTTCCTCCAACGATCCATTTTCCCTTTTCAGAAACACACGCATCCTGCCGAAGTTACCGCGAGAGTCAAATAATCATGCAGCAAGAAACACTTTTTCACCTAAATTCGCGATGAGTGTACCACAAGTGTGCCTACGCGTTCCTCTAAGTTGCCATTGCCGATTTGTCGTCCTGCGTTATTGTTTACCACAGGTTGGTGACAAAAAGCGTGGAGCTCGGCAGCAGTGTTCGCTCGTCAGTTTGCCGTACCTGCCAGGACAGTTGTCTAGTTCGTGATAACTCGGGTTGCTGGTGTTGGTGGAGTTGTCCTGGAATCCATCCAAGAATCTCGTGTGATTGAGTGGACCAGTGAGCAATCCCGAAATTTTAGACCACCGTTGGTCCCATCGTGACAGCGATGCGTCCAGCGTTCACTGTTCAGACTTTCATTCATCCCATCACCACAAGACTAATCCAACAGTTTTTATGGTAATTTACATTCCATTAAGCAACCAAACCAGCAGAATCGCTGGACACAAAGAGCATCATACAGACTGGAAATTTGAAACCAAACTTCCTAGTTGCCCTAGCGCCCCTAGCACCCGAGCCCCCTGACAGCATCCCCGCCGCCGGTGCCCCCACCTCCTCCTCCTCCTCCTCCCCTCCCCCTCCCCTGCCCACCACCGAAGGCACCACTGGAGGTGGCGCTGGTTCTGGGCCGCATGTGTCTCCGGGGCCCGTTGTTGCCGCCGCCACTGCTGCGATCACCAAGCACGCAGGAGCCAGAGCTGGGGCGAGCTGGCCCAAGTCTTGGCCTTTGTGGCCTGCCGTGGCGTCGCCGGCAGCCCCCAGCTCGTCCTCCCTCTCACCGGCCGTGGTACCATTCTTCCCAGGATGCTCGGGAGGATGCACGAAGCACCGTCAGTGGGCGGACGACGACGGCGACGGGACCAACGATGAGGACTCCTTCGACTATCCCGATGAGGACTGCTCCGACGCGGGCAGCATGCCTAAGGCTCCCACCTACCTCGACGTCGTTCGCCGGCAGCCACATCGCCCAAAGGTCGCCTCGGCCCGTCTGGCCACACGGCGCTCAAATCGTGGTCGAGTCCTGTGGTTTCCGCCGCCCGCCAGGGACGCTCCGGCACGGCGCAGAAAGCGAGATCTTTGGGCGACAAGGACCGATGCGAAGACGGAGGAAGCTGTGGCAGAACCGCTCGAAATAACACGCTTTCGGAGGCGCTCGTCTTCCACTAGACACTAAGCACCTCGAAAGTGAGCTACATCGGACAGTTCCGCCGAGCACACCACAAGGGAGAACTCGAAACAATCCACGTTTTACATCCAAAATCCAATAATGGATACGAGCTTACAATACTTAGTTATTGTGGGAGTACGGCCCCCGGTATCCTCAAGACAAGACATGGGCCGCACCATCAGAGGTGCCCCGGCCCACAAGATCAAGGCGTGCACGGCGCTGCTCAGCGTGCACCGCAAGATATTGTATAGTACCAAATAGGCTACTTTTCTTGTAACCTTACCCCTCCAGAGTATATAAGGAGAGGCAGGGGTCCCCTAGTGGAGACGATTCATATATTCAATACAATACACCAAAGACACATGACGTAGGGTATTACGTCGATCAGACGCCCCGAATCTGTCTAAATCGTTGTCTTTGCGCCTTGTGTCACCATCTGGTTCCTGATTACGCGCATCCCCACCGATAAATCTACCATCGCGGGATACCCCTCGGTGGACTGTCGAGCATCTTTTGTCGACAGTTGGCGTGCCA